GATTTATGTTAAGAAAACTTAAAGATTAACAGTTTAGTTGATTATAAATTAAGAGATAGTTGTCTATATTCAGAAAGGATTCCTTTTTTTATTTACCTATCTTTCACTGTCAAGTCGGGGAGGATGTAGACTTTTAGGAAGTTTGAGATCATAATAAAAGTTTATAACTCTCAAGTTCTACAAAACTAGAACTATATTGTTGTGAAGGTTAATTTAGTCATTGCACAAGAGTAGAAGGTGGCCCAGACCAGTATAGCTACGAAAACAATAAATAGAGTTTGTAATGCAGAATATTTAATATTCAGATATAAAGCAAATAATTTAAGATACAAATAGGTATAAGTAGGTAGGTGGAGTAGAGACAAATCAGTTAACCAAGTCCAAAACCACTGAATTGTTTGAGAACAAACTTAGGTTCCTGTAAGAGTCTTGCTGAACTATACATAACTTTGATAAACTTGCAGACTATTCTATAAGGTTCTGAATGGGATGTGTGCCTAGAAAAAAATAACTTCTACTGGAAACATGTCAAGCAGATTCAGAATCTAGAAAGATACTCAGAGAATATCATACTATAGGTATTTACTATATAAAAGCTCTAATCAAAGAGTTAGAAATTCAGTCTTCTATGCCTGAATCCCTCCCACAATAGCCTCACCCGTGGTCCTTCAGCTTCTGTTTGCAGAGTTCTAATCAGGGGGAATTTGCATTCTCAAAGGAAAGATTATTTCTGATGTCATTGTGTGTATGTGTGTTTTAAAAGCAAAATCTGCCTCCTTTAACTTTGACAGATTCTAGGTCCTTAAACCAGATAAAAATGGTCTAATTCTTCTTCCACATGACAATCCTTAAAATATTTGAACACAGTTTTCATGTTTCCCCTGGATCTCCTGTGTGCCAGGCTAAATGTCTACTACTTTGTCAATCACCCCTCCTATGATTCTGTGTTTTTGTTTTGGCATGGCCCATGTTTAGTTTCTAAGTGCAGGGGTCGAATCTTAGTCACTTTCTCTGATTGAGGCATTATATCCTTCAAAAATGTGATGCTCAGACCTGAACATAGTATTTTAGGTATTGTCAGACCAGTGCAGATGAATAGGATTGTCAATTCTCTCTAAAGATTCCATACTTCCATTAATGTAGTCTGAAATTGTATTGCTTTTTTTTTTTGATGGCCACTGTTGACTGCAATAAAACTTACAGTCACCTAAACCATTGGTTTTTTACCTCCTCCTGTCGCTTCTCAGCCAGATCTCTCCCATCCTGTCCTTGGTACTGATTTTTTTGAACCCAAATTAAGTGCTTTTCATTAATTGTTATTAAGCTTCATCTTATTTGACTCAGTCCATCATTAAGGCCTGTGGAGATTTTGTTTGTATTCAAAATCTGCCACCTAATATATACTATCTGCTTAGATTTTGATCACATGCCTTCAGTGATAAGCAAATTGACAAGACAGAACGAAGAATGGTGCTCTGTGGCATACCAGTAGTTAGTGCAGGTTGATTTCAACATGATATTCAATCAGTTCTCCTTGGGTACCATCATCAATCAGTTAAAATGCTGTATGGTTGTGCCAAGCTCCAAGAGACTTTATCAGAAGACCTGATGAAATGCATTTCCACTTGGTTTACTACCTTTCTCTTCTGCTACATTAGTAACTGAAAGCCTACTCCATGTCAGGTACAATCAGCTAGGCCTTGTGTTGCCAACTGTCCTGGCACTCATAGCTAGGTCTTGATGTTCACCTGTTGAACAACTCTTAAACAATTTCACAGAACATCAGTATCAGACAAGGTCACTCTCTGACCATAATGGATCAAGACAATGGCTCTGTAATTATGTCTGAACACAGATAAAACATGAATATTGTCCAAGCCACAAATTGCCAAACATCCCTCTCTCCCATCTAATGTAAGCAACTGCTGCTGCTTTGGCAATTACAGCTTTATCCTCACTCTAGTCTGTCTTTCCTAAGGAAAAGCTTTATTGAGATACCTAACCATAAAATTTCCCCTGCTTTTGACAGCAACCAATCTAGAATGAACTCCCATTTCCCTAGAGCCTCCCCTAAGTCACTCAACCAAAGCCCAAATCCTATAACAGGTTCTTTCTAACAAGTTCTTACTGAGGTGCCCCACGGTTTCCCCGTTGTGAGTACTATCCCTTGCTGTAACAAGTAATAAACCCAACTTAGTCAACTATAGGTCTGTTCCTGGTGGCCTTTGGGTTGGGGAGTGTTGACACACTGGCAGAAAAGAAGGAAACAGTGTTCTTCACGCACACATTAGATTTATTATTTTCACTTTGGCTCTGGGGGTCAGATATGAGTCCGTAGTCACAGAATCCTATTATTATTTTCCCCGCTAAGGATCCAGAATGGCCCACTGGCTTTCCTATCAGGAAGAGACAGCCTTCTCTCACCTCTGCATGGTCATAGCTCTTTTCATGCTGGTTCAAACACTAGTGGTGGAAACTGGGGCAGAGTCTATACTATCCTGGCCCCACGTCCCTCAGCACAAGTCTTCTGCTTGTGCTGTGTGACCGAATCCAATGACGCTTGAAGTGGCATAAGGAAACTACTCTGCTTGTGGTGACTGTGGTGTCTGGCTCTGGGAGAGCAATTCTTCTCTTGAGTCATGGGTAAGCCTGGCTCATGGGCTGAGGCCAGGGGTGGGATAGAGATAAAAGCTTTTCTCCCTTCTGCAGTACCCAGCTAGAACCAGACTCACTGAACCAGACCCAGCATTACAAATATTGTATTCATATGTAGCTTGATATATTCATTTAGTTTCAGGGAACGTCAGTGTTTTCTTGGCACTGGATTCTATTTGCACTTAGAAGCCTGTGATTTTTTTCTTTTGCTACCAGTTTACATACTAACTGTTGCCACTTACGTTGTAACAGCCTTTCTCTTTCTATTTAATTCACTAAATATTTATTTAGTACCTACCATAGAGCTGTGGAGAATACAAAGATGAATCAAATATAGCTCTGATCTTAAGAAGTATATAATCTAGAAAAGAGTATCGGACATGTACATAAATAACTGGGCATCACTCGTTCAGTCAACAAACATTTATTAAGTACTCACTCATTGCCAGGCACTGTAACATAAGTTGTGTGTTGATAAATGCTATGGGTCTACATGCTAAAAGGACGGCATTCAAAGGACAATAATGTGTTTATTGAGCACCTTCTACATGCAAATACTAAACCAAGAACTTTTACCTGAATATCTCCCTTAATCCTCAGAAGGACCCTTTGAGACTGACATTGTTATCACTCCGCTTTACAGACGAGATAGCTGCGGTCATGATATAACTTGCAAAGATTCCAGAGCTGGCTGAGTACTGGAGTCAAGACTCAAACCCAGACAGTCTGTCTTTGGATCTGTGCCCTTAACAAATACTTATAATTTGCGTTTTGTTATTCTTTTTGGTTTACAGTTTTTTGAGATGTTGTTGATCTCCGAGAACTTCTGTTTTGGGGAAGCTTAGAAAAATTACAAGGCAACCAGACATTTGAGAAGGTGTTTGCATTTTTTTCCTGCGGTCGCTTCACATAGGAGCACGTGTGAACACATAGGCACCAAAGCAGAGCCTGGAGTCTGCGGCCCTGACTGTGCTCCGTTGTTCTATGTATTCTGTACAGTCTTGGAGGTTATTTTTAATGCAACATGCCAGAGTGGCATGTTGAAAGATCCATAGTAACCAGCTAACAGTAACAGCAGGGCCTGCCAAGTAAAAGTTCCGTAAATCAGTCATAAACGCAGTTACAAAATCAGCCAGCGTTGTGTGCATGAGGGAGTGTCCTTGGAGGAGGCACAATTCACGCACAGTTCCATGGGATCTCCTCGAAATTCCATGAGAGTAAAGAGCTCTGTGGCAAATTTTTTTTTTTAAGGGGAAAAAAGTGAGAAAGAGGCTTCCTGTAACTTTATTCTAATAGGGAACTTTCTCCCATGTGATCAGGTAGCTCGGAGAAGCTAAGGGAAAGACACTCAGAGAAACGAATGTTTCAGATACCAAGTGCCCTCGTTTCTCATGTTTTTAATATTTTTGGAATCATTCCTTTTCCACTACCACAGCCCACGTTCAGGCCTTAATAACTTGGTGTACTGAAAAGCCTCAAGGCTTTTATCTGTCCTCCTCAAACCTACCGTATTCACAACGGCAAAAATCACCCGGGGCAGGATTTTGGACATCTTACTCTTTGAGTGAGAATTTTACAAGGAGCTCCCAAGTGCTACCAAACCAAATAAAAACTCACACTTTGAAACACTAGGGGCTTTCTCCTACGACAGACTTACAGCAAACTCTGTGAGGGAGCAAGATGCTTTACTCGGAGTTTGAGAATTATGAAGCTTTGGGATAAGGATTTTCCTATCAGGCAATAGGTACATCGTCAACGAATACTAACAAGTAATGTGTTTTATCTGTGAAAAGTCAGAGAAATCACCTTTACTTATTTGGCTCCCTGCTGTTACAGAAAACCTGGGCATGGGGAGCAGGCCATTCCTTACCCACAGAGAATATTACACAAGTATAAAATACACCATGGGGGGCTGGCCCGGTGGCATAGTGGTTAAGTTCAGCTGCTCCGCTTCAGTGGCCCAGGATTTGCAGGTTCAAGTCCCAGGGGCAGACCTACACACCACTTATCAAGCCATGCTGTGGCAGCCATCCCACATATGAAGTAGAAGATGGGCACAGATGTTAGCCCAGGGCCAATCTTCCTCAGCAAAAAAGGAGGAGGATTGACAACAGATGTTAGCTCAGGGCTAATCTTCCTCTCTCTCTCACACACACACACACACACACACACACACACACACACACACACACACACACACACACAATACACCGTGGGAGCCAGCCCTGATGGCCTAGTAGTTAAAAGTTCTGCGCTCACCGTTTTGGCGGCCCGGGTTTGCTTCCTGGTCGTGGAACCACAACACCTGTCTGTCAGTTGCCATGGTGTGGCGTTCGCTCACATAGATGAACTAGAAGGACTTGTAACTATGATATACAACAATGCACTGGGGCTTTGGGGAGGAAAAACAACAAAAGAAAAGGAGGAAGATTGCCAACAGATGTTAGCTCAGGGCGAATCTTTCCCTGCAAAATAAAACAAAACAAAACAACACAACACCATGGGCAGGAAGCCAGAGCACTGGTAACTGAATGAAACATTTAATCTGTGTGTGCAGCGGTGGACTTCAATGTCCTTCCCCAACACCCACAACCATTCACATCACACATACTTTTTTCACCTGACTTGACAAGTGGCTGGTTCTCTCCTTGCTTATCTATTTGTTTACAAATCACTGTCCTCTTGGAGAGGGAGATATTGAGTAAGGGTAGGAGAGGATTGAAGAAACCTGAAGGGAAAGCTTTTGGAGCAATGCCACCTGAAGAGCAATTTTAAATGAGATAAAACCTCTCTGCCTTTAGAACCTAAGTTGTTGGGAAAACACGATTGAGCCTCTAACTTTATAGAAACATTGGTACTGGTAAAACGAGGTGTGGCTGTGTAACCGGAAAGGCTAGAGATAAGATTAAGTGGAAAGCTCTTTCCAAGATACTTGCTCAGGACGCCTACCTTGGCTGGGAATTCCCCACTTCAGGTTTTCCCCCAGAATGAGATTCTTGTTGAACCGAAGGGAGTTATGAAACTGATTTTTCTCTGTTTACTGTGAAAGTTTTAATTTCAGGGACTTTGATACTTTGGGCACTTTCTTTTCTTTTTTTCCATTGTGATGAAATAACACATAACATAAAATTTATCATTTTAACCATTTTTAAAGTGTACAATTCAGTGGCATTAAATATATTCACAATGTCGTGAACCATCACCACTATTCATCTCCAGAACTTTTTCATCATCCCAAGTAGAAACTTTGTATCTATTAAATAATAACTGCTCATTTCTCCTTCCCCCAGCCCCCGGTAACCTCTAACCTCTATTTGGTCTCTATGAAAATGGCTATTCTAGGTCCCTCATGTAAGTGGAATCATATATTATAATATATGTCCTTTGCGTCTGGCTTCTTTTGCTCAGCATAATGTCTTCAAGGTTCAAACCATGTTGTGGCATGTATCAGACTTTCATTCCTTTTAAAGACTGAATAGTATTCCATTGTATGTATATACTACATTTTGATTATCCATTCACTGTTGAGGGAGATTTGGGTTGTTTCTACCTTTTGGCTATTGTGAATAATGCTGCCACGAACATCAGTGTACAAATATCTGTTTGAGTCCTTGCTTTCAATTCCTTTGGGTATATACTTTGAAGTAGAACTGCTGGATCATATGGTAATTCTATGTTTAACTTTTAGAGTAACTTTGGGCACTTTTAAAAAGAGTATAAATCACAGAGGCAAACTCGTTTCAGAATCTGAGCTTTTCAAACCCAAATGAGAAGTGTCAATCGGATTTAGGAAAAAAAGACAAAAAGTGATTGGTGACCCTGATGTGAGCAGTTTGGATGGAGGAGTGGAGACAGAAGCCAGATTGGAGTGGATTGGCAAGCGAGTGGGAGGTGAATAAGATACCCATTTTTTCAAGTCTTTTGAGAATTTGGGCTGAGAAAGGTGGGAGAAAGTTAAGGTGGGAGCTGGAGGGAGAAGGTTGAGAATAGGCTTTTTTAAGATGGGAGAATCTTGGGCATGTTTAACTGGGAGATAGGAATGGGAGGGGCAGAAGTGATAATCCTCAGAGGTCTCTAAGAAGGCAGGAGAGGGCAGTGGTGGGAGCCTGCATTGAGAATATGCTTCTGTAGATTCCTTCTGTATAACGAGAGAGAGGACAGCTTCAGGTGCAACTAAGTCTAATCATATGTTTTGAGTTTGGCATTGTGGGGGAATACAAAGCGAAATACTACCTGATTTTACTATGAATGGTACAGTAGAGGAGGTAAGGCTTGAACCCCCAAACTAAAAATAGGGCAGAAAATGCTAAATGTCACAAGGGAAAGATACAGAGAAAGTATTACAACCTTCAGTAGAGGTAGAAAGTGCTTCCAGCTGTGGAGAAGGACCAATAATAAGGGAAGCTTTCGCCGTAGCCTAAACTATTTGGGATGAGATTTGAGATCTAGGTGGGTGTTGTCAGCTAGCAAATTGTTGTCAGCTAGCAAAGGTCATGTTTCCCAAAATGTTCTACAAGATACTTAGATATTCTATGAGAAAGGGGTATGGTGGTCAAATTAATTTAGAAAGTGCTATATGTAGGAAAACCATATTGTATGACATGAGGCATTTTAAAAGCTAAAAGAGACAATTCTGCTGGGACAACAGGTGTACATTGGGACGGTCCCAGGCAAACTGGGATGAGTGGTTACCCTCCTTCTATACTATAATTCCTCTTTTGGAGATTTAAATGAACATTAGGATTTTAAAAGATTCTGAGAAGTACTGTAGTAAAGAAACCTGTTTTATACTGGTTCATCCAGCATTTCCCAAATTTATTTGACTATGGAACCTCCACCCTGTTTTTTTTTCCCACTCTGAGGAGCACATGTTAGCGCCTAATAAGAGCTCCACAAGCAGAGAAGCAAAGAGATGTGGGAGTCAGGGGGGGATTTGGTCTGGCTTAAAGGGAACAGTGGAGGAGGAGATGAGAAAGGTGGCTTGTGCCACATCCTAGGGGACTTTGAGGGCCAGATTGAGAATTTTTACTTGATGAAAGCCATTTCTCACAGCAGCACACAGAATATGTGCCTATAACATGAAAAGAATTTCAAAGAATCATGACTTTCAATCAAAAATGGTACACTTTTCCTTGCTTTCCTATTTCTGCTCCTTTCTTAATCTCTGAGGTTAGAGGAGACGAAAAACTCCAATTTAGGGACTTTCTTCAGGTCATGAGGTGTTAAGGGCTAAGTTGTAAAACTCATATCTGAAGTCACATCTTCTTCTCTTACCTGGTTTCACTTGTGAGGTCTAAAGGATAAAGAGATAGAGGAATGCTAGATTTTGAAAAGAAAAGTCATCCTGATTCCATTTGCTATTGTGGGTGCTATACATTAAGATGTAGATTTGAATACAAAGAGCTTGCCTGGCTAGAGTAACATGAGAATATAACAAACATCAGTCATTATCACTACGTGACCACGGTTAGACTTAGTGGGGGTCACATATCTGGCAACCTGATTTATAGGACAATAGACAGCTAAGTAGCTGGAATATAGTTAAAAAATAAACTCCTTGAGAGGCTAAAACTTATAGTACAAACTCTACACACACTAGGAGCCACAGACAATTCTCAGAAAGACTCCCCTTACTCATTTGCACACACTTCCAGTAAATTCAGTAACCCAGATTTCTAGCACACAATAAATTTAACAGCAAATTAAAAGGCAAGGAAAAATTAACAGTGGTCAGTACATTTAAGCAAAAAGGGAAAGTGTAATACTATAAAAATTCAATAAAAGGACTAACATGGTGTAAGGTTTTCAAGGCATTTTAGAGGCAAAAAGTCGACCAAACCTCCACTGTGCCCTGTGAGGATACCATTCGGTTATACCATAGAATTAAACCTATTTATAAGGATTATTTTGATTCATCAAAGGATGTTTAAGTGTGTTCCATTACTCTAAGATGGTAAGAAAGCATATAAGACATTTTAGAAAGAGTTCAATCCAAAATGCTTGTGATTTTAAAAGTTTGGTCACTTAAAGGTATCTGTTATCTGGGGGAGTCATTGCATAAATCTCTTTCACGCAGGTGCTGTTTCCTTTAGAAAGAAGTTCATTGTCAATGTTTTTCCCAACCGTATTTCACATCAATTATTAATCCTGTAGGTTAAAAGAGGATCAACATGGCAACAATGCAAATAGCCTCTTGTGATTTGAAGATTAAATAAATCATTAAATTAAATTACTCCACAATCAAATGTTTATGACTGTTTAAAGTTAGCCAGCCGGTGGCACTCTATAAAGGAACACCGACTTGAATTATGTCATAAAATATAGCAGCTAAACTCTATCTTATCACCTTAAAAGCCACTGTGGTTTTTATATGGGGATGATGGCTGTTCAGGCTGGCAGGGGACAATCCTGGGTGTTAAGAGGCAGCTGTGAGCCTTGTATCAGCTGCCCTCCAGGAAGCAGAGGGCCAACGGAGCAGTCCACAGGGAGCTCTTGGTTTCTCCTTAATATTTGGTTTTGAAACGTTTTTGCCTACTTTAAAGACACTTGGCAATTTGAACCTCATCAAAAAGTAGATCAAAAAAAACCAAATAAATCTGCCCTTAAGGTAAACATGAGTAGAGTTCAGAAGTTCTGAAAAATTAACACTATTTAATGCTAAGTTTGTCACTGTTGAAAATAATAAAGCACAGTTTATAACATACGGCCATCATCCTTATTTCTTGGCAAACAATAGCATTTCCACTTCCCATTCCAAATTGAGCTAGACAGCCGAATAGTGAATCCTGTTAGAAAAGTACATTTCCTCTCAGATAATCTGAACAGGCTAAGATTTATCAGTCTCTTGTCTCAAAATTTAATGAGGTTTGCTTTTATCCATTCTTTCTTTATCAGAAATATAGATGGATTTCTAAAAAAAATACCTGTCTCTAATGCATTAGCAAACTCTGGGAATTAAAAAAAAAAGCTAGCTATAAAAGTCTACTTTAAAAGATGTAGGGCACTCTATTGACTGCTAACTTGAATAGGAAAAAACAAATAAGTCTTAACATATGGCTTAGGGGCATTATGGCTGAGGTTGTGAGGGACACAAAATTTGCCCAAACTATGGAGTAAGATTTTTAAAAAGTAATAGAATTTTAGGGTTCAAGGACTGTCAGTGTGTGATCCTGGATCAGCAGCACTGGCATCACCTGGGAGGCTGATAGAATTGCAACTTTGTGAATCTCACCACCCCAGGACACCTGAATCAGAATCTCTGGGGTGGAGCACAGGAATCTGTGTTTTATAAAGCTCTCCCAGGTGATTCTGATGCATACTGAAGTTTGAGCTCCTTTGGACATCACTGCTGAGTGTCACTGAACCCACATTAAATGTGTAGAGGGACATTCATTATCTTCCA